ATCCGAGCGTCAACTGACAACCTCCGAAACAGCTGTCTTTTCTCTTCCACACTCAAACTTTCACTGCCACTGTACGTTTCACTCAGAGAAGCCTGTTTCACAATTTCCGGTTTGACATCATTATGTTTCTTGTGGTCGTCATAGTCAGAAGTTAAGTTCCTAGAGGTAGTGCTATTGTAACTGATTTGAGATTTGTCAGAAATAGTTTCCTTCAAACTTTCCTTTTCTCTTTTTTTTTTCATATACAACAGGAGTTCTTTTTTAGTAACAAAGTCCATATCACTGTCTATGTGTGGAGATTTCCTATCAGATGGTGTCTCAATCTGTGTTTGCTTCTGAACATTTTCATGAACGTTTACATTGGCATCTACAATTAATTCCTCATCAGACTGTTTTACTGCTAGGTCATGTGACCTGTCACCTGATTTTAAACAGTTTGATCCCTGACCTTCAGATTTTGACCACACATTATCTAACTGGTCAGGCATTCTCCTTGAAGGCTCAACACTGACCACAGTTTGTGACCCTTTACGCAAACATTTGCTTTTATCATCAACGCCCACTTTTTTTAGAACAGAGGTATATGGTACAAAGGCACTAGTGTTTGTTTCCTCTGCACTGGAGATCATTGGTGCTTTTGTGTCTCGCCTCCATGGTGAAACAAAAACTTTTTCTTTACTTGTTTTGACCTCTGAACTTTCATACCCATCTATATTTAATGAATTCTGACCTTTGAAACAGTCACGTTCAACATCAATACAATGACTTGGTGAATCATTTGAACTTTGAAATTCACCCTTAGCGATGGGTTCTTCCTGATTCGGTCTAGGGTTATACAAAGGCTGAGTTACTTGCTGTCCATCAATCATTGAGTGAAACAATTTAATTCTTTCTCCAAGAAGCATTGGAATATCTTGTCCACCATCCCAGCTATCATTACTAAGAACGCTGCTATTAGTGTCAAGAAGCCCCTTAAGTTCAGACTCTTCCGTTGTTATTGACTCATAACTTTTATTTTCCGAGCTCCGTTCCAGTCTTGGTACATTTCCTGGAGTCTTACAAGGTTTAGAATCAGACGCAATCAAACTTTCAAAGCTTTTCACATTTGCCGTCGCATCATGAATTTCTTTGAGCACACTCTGAGCTGTCTCGTATGGTGCACGCGTAAACGGTAGATGGTATTTATCTGCAGATTGTCCATTACATACAGGTACATGTATATCCTGCGTAGACTGTTTCGTACTATGCGTCATTTGAACATTGTCCATAAAATCATGTGGTTTTATATAAACGTGCGATTTAATCAGACTCTCCGTCTGCAGACTTTCTTTGTGAAATTGTCTGAATGTTTCTCGTAGCTTAATTGGCATTTCCGAGCTCAAATTTTGATTTTGTGCACCACTAACTAAATATCCATTTCGCAATGCACTCGCTTGATACATCCGTTCCTCAGCTAGTTCCTGTTGAGCACCGTTGTATTGTGGGTAAAGTCTGTCTGGCCTACCATAGTGTGCAAACATGTCCACCATTGTGGAGGTTTCTTTTATTAATGATCCATGGTTACCATTGCTATATCTATCCAGTGAGAACGCATTTCTCGTTGATGTGATATCCGTTTGGTTATAACTATACAAATCCCCGTTCACAAGAGCTCTGTTTTTAGATGAAGATGATTTACCATGTGGCATGGTTGACATACTAGGATATGCCTGAAAAAAATAAAAATAAAAATAATACAACATTAATCTAATAAAACTACATAAAATTAAACATGTGTATAACAACTGCCCAAGTTATTCAAAGAAATTGTTCTTTATACACAGGTGGTCATAACACAGGTTTGACTGTATTAAATTTTTACATAAGTCCTAATTTTGACAAAAGCAGAGAAAACGATATTCATCGAATCTAAAATTACAAAGAAAAGTTTTATGAATATGGATTAGGGTTAAATATATTTTGTTATTTTTCATAAAAATCTGTTCACAAAATGTAAACTGTGAACAAACATTGCTTTGTCCAAAATTAACGTCAACATTTGAGTATAGTTTTGGGCAAGAACAAATGAATGGAAATGTTAATGAAAAAAACAACAAGACAAAATGTGATTTTATAGCACCCTCACAGGCAACTTTCAGAATAACAAGATCGGCCTTGTGAGGGCAGTCATCAAACTTACATAGGTGTTGTGATTGGAGTGAATACTTTGCAAAGACTCCATACTATGTGTGTTGAGCTCAATACTGCTAATACTATCGTTGCGAGTTAACGCTGGCCGACAGGCAATACTTTTACTATTTAGCGTTCGTTGTTGACTACCAGGAGAGGATTGGTTACTACCGGTAGCACCAGGGATCCGATATAAAGCCTGGAAAATAACGATATCTCAAAATGATTACACTATACTCAAAATAAGATGTATTCCCTATTTTGCCACCAGTCCCTTTTTTCATAACAAAAATTCACAAACTAGTTCTGTTAATAGTCTGCACTTTCCTTCAGAAGATTGGGACAAAAATAGACAAGTTTTTGGAGTAAAAATTGTAAATTGACTCAACTTTTGTCTGTTGGCTCTAAAATAAGGGTTCATTTCCAGAAATATTGATGAAAATAAGAAAAAAAATGCAGACAAATTTAGTCGAGAAAGTCTTGTGGTGAAAGGTTACGGTTGCATTGTATACTTTGTGAAACTACACTGAAGTCAGATAAAGTCTTAAATATAGCACTAGAAAACTTGCGATCTTGTCCTAAAACTGAATAAATGTAAAAAAACTGAATCAACCGTGATTCCTGATCAACGGATCATAACTGGGAGAAAACTTTCAGTGAGGAACGTGAACATTCCAGCATATAAATGAAACACATAAAATCATATTAACATATTGAGGGGGAGGGTAATAGACATACTTAATGTCGGATAATATCTTGGACCAAATATGCTAATTTTCCCGAGAGAAGAATATTGTTTTTAAATGAATTGTATACTAATTCTTTTTTTTTTACGATGTGATGTCAAGCAAGAATATTATCATGCACAAAAACACTGAAAGCTCTCTACATAATTTAGAGAATTTTAGCTGAATTTAAAGCGGGAGGGTCGTAACCTGCACACACGCGGGAATTGAATTCCAAGCGATGATAGTTACACTCGTTAAAAAACGCAAAGACTCACGGGTAGTCACTTGTTTGCTATGGCCATCTGACGCATGCACAGGTGCTCCCCCCCGCTTTAAATTCAAAACCAATGAATGAATGTTTTGAAGTCTCACAACGAACAAAACTATCTTGTACAGGTGAGATTCGAGTATACATTTAGAGTGATTTTTAGCTCAGAATCTTTAGCTTCTGAATCCCATAATTTGTCACACAAACACTTTTAATATGTAACATTTTGTAATTTTTATGTATTTTCCACAATTTTTCTGCTAATTATTACCAAATAGATGGAATTTCAATTTCGCCAACAAATTTATTGAACAGTGAGAAAAGTTGTTAAATCTGACAAAAATTCTGAAAAAGCTGGCCAAAAAAAGGTGTCAAAGCAGTATAGAAAGATGCACACACCTGAGATGCTGCGATGGAGGTAGTTGGATTAATACTGTTTTCGGTGTTCGTAGCTGAATGATGGTCACCTGATCCCACTTTCCCTCGACTTCGCTTACTTGAGTAAGTCTGCATAAAAATAAAAGTTCAGATAATGAAGGATTATACTATTATGAAATATGTTGGGTGGCAGATAAATGAGGGTGACTACAAATTCAATACTAAAAAAGATCAAATAATACCAAATTTTGTCTTTGGTCTTGGCATTTCCCGACCCCTGACCTTTGAGTCAAATGTTAACATTTTTCCCTCCAGTTCCCTCTTTTCATCACAAATTCACAAAAAAGTCTATAGTCTCAGTTTCCTTCAGAAGATTGGGAAAACATTTTTTTGATTAATAACTGAAAATTGACTCAATTTTTTACTGTTCTCTCCAAAATTAGGGCTCATTTCCAGAAATATTGGAGAATATAAGAAAAAAAAAAGCGAAATAATTTGGGGCGAGAAAGTCTGGTGGTGAAAAGGTTAAAAGTTATGAACAATAGGAAACGAAAACCAACAAACAAGCAGGTTTTTGTTTGCAGGGCAATGCCTTGAGACATTTCATAGGGTTGCAAAGATGCTAGTTGGGTAAATATTCAGTGAATCGTGTTTACACGTACATCCAGGAGAATGAACTGAGCATCTTAACAATGTAAATCACCACAACAATAGCACACTACGGTTGAGTGGGTAAATGTCTAGGGGCAATCAAGATATGCCGCCAAATGAACTTTAATGCAGAAAGGTCTAATTGGTGTTAGATGCTCTAGGCATACACAGTATTGCAAAAAGATGAAAGCTAATTTATGAAAAATGGCAAGAAACATTCACATGGTCTAAGGCGTTAGCATCTAAGGTATTAAACTAAAAAATGTGTGTGCACACTTAAAAAATTAACATATGAGTAAATATTCTGCTATTTTAAAATTATCTGTAAAGAGGATATATAAATCATAGAAAAAATGTGCCCTCTAGAGTTGATATCTAGCCCTCTAGTGTTGAGGTCTGAGAAGCATTCATTTCTTGGGTCAAACATGGTGGAGATTAGATGAACAGCTCCCTCTACATATATACTAGCCCTCTAGTGTTGAAGTCAGAGAACAATTAACAATGCAGATATTTAATCTCTCTCTCACTAAAATGAGTGAAAAAATGTTCAGCAAGAATTTTTGTGATATCATCGGTCTCATCAGAGGTAAATACAAACAAGAAAATTATAAATGAGTAGATGAAAGCAAGAAACGGAATTAATGTCCTTGTGACAACCAACACATCCTTAAAAATGTAAAAGATACATGTTGTACCACTAAAGTTTACTGCTAGAACTATCACATTAACCCTATTAGTCATGCCTAGATCATTTTACACTTTCAAAAGAAGACATCGTTTAAGTAATTCACCATTGACGTCATTCGTAATATCATTATTGTCGCTTGAGGTGGCGGTGAATTCAGACAGACACAAAATTCATTGTGCTATATACCTAACCACAGGTTATAACAGTAGCCCATACAAGGCATATATTTTTGACAAATTACTTTGTTGACAATCTGTTGACTCTTTCTGCATGAAAACATAATTTTATCAAACATAAATTTACTGACTTCTTTTTATGAACCTCTATAGAAAAAAACAAACAAACAAACAAAAAACGAGAACTGTTGCATGGAAACAAGTAAAATATTTTTTTTTTCAAAACAAAACAAAACAAAACAAAATTCAGCGTAACAAAATATAGGAATAAAATACAAAAGTTCTTTTCAATCACAAACCTACCTAAAAGCTAATGTTTGAGAATTTTTTTTTCAAATAGGTCAGACTCTGTTAACTGTACTTAAACAGGAAATGTGATGTAATTTGACCCTGAGGTCGAACATCCTGGTACTTGTCTCACTCAATACAATTATAGCCATCATCAAAAATAGAATTTATTATTTCAACACTTTTTTTAGCAGGAAACATATTGATTGTGAGCCCTGTCCAGTACTGTCTCAATTAGAAACTGGAGGGTTAATACAATTCAAAACTTTTTAAGCAGAAATACAGTTGGACAAATAATGAATGATAAATCCATGTATTAAAATAATTTATGTTGGAACCTTTTTAAACATAACTGAAGTCATAAAGTAAGAGATAGTAATTTGACCTAAGTAATCAAAGACACAAAACACTATTTTCTATTGTATTTGCAGCAACCAATCAGGTCCTGAAATATTCAAAATAGGCTATTCCATTATTTAAAGAGAATTCTGAATACATTTGAAAGGGGATTATTTTTATGTCTGCCAACTTTCTATTATGAACTGAGAAAACACTATAATTTTTTACATTGAATTTATTTTTCGCATTATTATTTGATCATTCCATTTGTCAATAGGGGTGTTCTTACCTGGACAGATGATGAGTCTCTGTTTGTATGCATTTGTCTTTCCTTCTCAAACATCATATTTAACATTCTGTTTTGTTGTTCAAGGTCATGAACTCGGTTCTGTAATTTGATGCATTCTGATCTCAAATCCTGAAATAAATTAAAAAATAAATGAACAAATCTTCATTTATTACGAAATTCTTCAGTTTGTCACGCTGCATTTACAGTTGTCTCTCTGAGCAAATGCTCACTGAGCAGCAAATAGTCATAGCAGATGCCCTAGGTATGATCTCACTGTGCAGCAAACTATCATAGTGGAAGACCCCCTAGGTGTGGGTTGACAGAGCAGCAAACTGTCATAGTGGAAGACCCCCTAGGTATGATTTCACTGTGCAGCAACCTGTCATGGTGGAAGACCCTCTAGGCGTGGGCTCACTGATAAGCAAACTGTCATAGTGGAAAACCCCCTAGGTATGATCTCACTGTGCAGCAAACTATCATAGTGGAAGACCCCCTAGGTGTGGGTTGACAGAGCAGCAAACTGTCATAGTGGAAGACCCCCTAGGTATGATTTCACTGTGCAGCAAACTGTCATGGTGGAAGACCCTCTAGGCGTGGGCTCACTGATAAGCAAACTGTCATAGTGGAAAACCCCCTAGGTGTGGGCTCACAGAGCAGCAAACTGTTATAGTGGAAGACCCCCTAGGTGTGGGCTCACAGAGCAGCACACTATCATAGTGGAAGACCCTCTAGGTGTGGGCTCACAGAGCAGCAAACTGTCATAGTGGATTAAGGCCTTCTAGGTGTGGGCTCATTGATAAGCAAACTATCATAGTGGAAGACCCTCTAGGTGTGGACTCACAGAGCAGCAAACTGCTGTAGATTCATCGTACAGCAAAATACTATGGGAGTGGAAGGGCCCCTAGGTTTGATCTCACTCAGAACAGAAACTGACATAGAGCACCCCCCCCCTCCCCCAAAGGGTGAGCTCACACTGACAGAGCAGAAAGCCCCCTAAGTGTGAGTTACATGTATGTAAGAACCAATTAGCCTATTTAGAGTTTGACATATACAGGTCAATTTAACAATCTAAACAGCCTTAAAATTTGACATACATTGTGTGCCTACATACTTT